CAACCTCGAGTTAGCAGGGTTTAAATCATCACTCCATTATTAACTTAATCGAAGTCACTTGAGGCCGCAGCATGCCATTTTGATTCTATATCAGTTAATAACGGATCAACAAATACAACGCGATGAAGCTGCCAGTTACTTGAGATAGCTTTAGGGTGGAGAATGATTTAATTTTATTAAGCCGAGGCCGCTCGGCTTAATTATGTCAACTTGAAACTAACCATCATATTTATGGATAAGTCTTGACTCAATCAAGCGAATTCGTACATTCTTTATTTTTACGTTAGCCGAAGTTATTTGTATTGATATGGAATCTATTATAAATATAATTGAAACTATATTAACAAAGCATTAATCAGATGGGGACGTAAACGTAAAAGAACTTGCATCATGGGGAGAATTACCGAAGAGCAATTACCAAAAATGATGCGAGATGGTGGACCACGGACGAAGAGATGGATTGAATTCTGGACATCAACACCTCAAAAGAAATTATGCCTAAAACCCACAATACGTGGAAGAAGACAATTTCTGCTGGCTTTAGCGTCGGGATAGCCTCTGAATCATTTTGACAATTTTTGGCATTACGCCAGTCTATGTACCAATGTTTTTGGAACTCGAGTTCGCTTATATTATGTTTGTGAATGCAGCAACTGTCGATTATCAACTTGATGTTTTTCTTCTATTATGGCATAGGTCTTATTGATTTTTGATTAATTTGAGGATAAAGTTCATAGCAATTATACAAAAAAACTGCAAAAATATCAACCGCTTCTAGATATAAATAGCACCATTGCGATTACCAAGTAAAGCATGTAAAGCGGAAAAGAGCATAATTAGCCTTACAATACAAGCAGCCTATTGCCTGATTGGGAGCTCTATGCATGTAAAAAATTTATATAATATACAAGTAACTTGAAGGGTTATGGAGATGCTGATTGTGCTCAATCAAACTGAGGAGCAATCAAGTAAATCCAATTCCAAACTGACTCGAAGCCTAACTTCGAAGCAACTCAACCCCAGCTACAACACAACTACAAAGTAACATGTCTCCAAATCAAGTCAATCCAATTCCTAATCAACTCAAGTAGAAAGTAACCCGACTTCAAAGCAACTCAAGCCAATCTCCAGGTAACTCAATAAACCGGCACCACGTAAACCAACCTCAAAACAACTCAACTACAAAGGTTACAAATCCTAAGCAAGCCAACAGCAATTATATCACAAAGTAGCACAACTAAAAGTAAGCTAACCCAAACGGTGACAAACTCAAACACAAAGTCACCCAACCTTAGCTCAAAGCAATTCAAACCTCTTTAGTCACAAAACTAAAACGTCACATATCTCTGTAGCAAATCAATCAAATTCTTAAGCATCTCAAGCCAGTGCAACCCTAAGAAAATTCAGCTATTACGTTAACCTAATTCATAGTACCTAAGCCTATTTCAAGATAACTCAACTATGTAGTAATTCAACTCAAAATCAAGCCAACATCGAAGTAACCCAAATTTTAATTAAGCCAATCAAAGCTAAAAGTAAATTGAAATCCAAAGCATGAGTGACATAAAGTAACCCAAATTCATAACAATTTAATTGATCCCTAATACAACATAACCATAAAGTAACACAACCTAAAGTAAGGCAACACAACCCTTGCCTAACTCTACCAATTTCAAAGGAAGTCAATCTAATCCTAAGGCAAAGTGACCCATCTTCAAAAAAAGCCAACATAAAAGCTCAACTTCAAACCGCTAGTAATAGTGGTAGATGCTACCGCTTTTTCACAACATATCTCCGAGTCAAAAGAATCCAATCCCTAAACAACTCAACCACAAAGTACACAAATCAAAACAATCCATGATTAATATCAAGATGAACGTGATCATGATCAATCTAAGACAACAATAACTTTTGCGTTTAATTCAAATGAATCAGAGTTCTCAATTGAATTTGGGTTGCTGCATGAATTCAAAACTACTTTCTGAACTATTACAGTAATAAATAATAGCAATTTCTTTATCTAAAAATATTAATATTTTTAAAATACACATGATTGAGTTATGTCAAAAACTATTTTCTCATCATTCACTACGTAATCTTATCTATATTCGTCTACTAACATCAACGTCTCGCTCCTTATCCATCATACCCATGTCTCAGTTCGTTGCTTATTCATCTTAACGTCAGCGCATTCTTAATTGTTCTTCTATCCGCTTCTACGTAAGCTTAGTTACATTCCGGTTGATGTGTAAATATAGTATCGTTTTATAACCCTGTATTTTTGATATATTGAAACTTGACACCCGCGGTAAAATGCATATATAAAATATATGCACTATAACAAGGTTGGGAAGAAGTAGTTGACGAATGCGGATAACGAGAGGTTCGGGTGAACGTCGTTCCCTAAAGACGATACCGCGGATTCACCATTAACGTAGACTTGGAAAAACATTGATGTATGACCTGCTCGTAACTATGTCGTTAACTTGTTTGCCGAAGAGCGCTACACCGTGGGACGAAACACGATACACTATTCTACGTTCGCTTCGAGATAAAACTTCGAATTTCGGGCCGTCTATTAAAGTTTAAATAATGACGGACCGATCTCCGGGGGCCACACAAAAGCGGGAGCTAAAGGTGGTTTCTTTAGCCTAGCGACGTCGACCTGCTCGTCGAACGAGAAGAAGATAAACGGCAATTTAAATTACTTAAAGTGGATGTTGGCGTAGAAGAGGTTCACTCTGCGCCAGTGGCGAGCAGAGCAATCGGGACAGCAAAAGTAATGCCAAGGCTGTCGCGAATACCTGTAAGTACCCTCGTCTGTGTAGTGACTAAGATGGCAATTGGGAAGGAATGATAAAACTTTCAATTAAATTAAGCGATTCGCAAGCTGCTGAGTTGCCTCGTTTTATTATTACGACTATTAGTGGTGTGAACTGGCAAACAACATTAAACTTAGTTTAAGAATTCCCTTTAATAAATCTTTACCAATATTTTTAAATTGAATTTTATTACAAAAACAATTCTGGAAAATATTATTCGACGAATATTTTGGTATTATTTACATAAAATATGCGGCACTTGAAACGGTCTGATTTCCAAAATTTACAAACGCTTGGAAAATTATTTCCACCGTAAAAACAACCCCGCCGCAAGCTAGAATAAGAATTATTTACTTTTTAAAACGCAAAAATTTAAAGCGAGTCCGTAAACCGAAAAAGTAAACATCGAAGGCCATCGTCGTTAGGCGACCATGCTAAGAACGCGCGATTACCGCCGCTGAAGTTTATGCAAATGTATGCGCATAAATATTTGACGAAATAAAACCATGGAATTTCAGAAATTATTCCAAATGCACTCGAATGACTCGCTCCTTCCCATTTACCCACGCCTAGCTACGACCTGAGCGTACTTGTTAAGCGCGTTGATATTCAAATCCAAACTATTCACTAAACGCTGGATTATTATAATGCGAAACGCGGAATTAAAGCTTTTGTAGGGATTATGGCCAGTGGAAAACGGTTGATTAATGAAAATCGCGTCCAAGCCCGTCACCGAATAACCAAAAATGAAATTAATCTCGCTCTGCAACTGTTCACCCGCCAACATTCCCAAAGCAATTCTGCTATTGGTATGGAATGGGCAAAACTTTGCATATTTGCTCTATTCCAACTATGCAGGCGTTTATTACGGCTGATTATGCCCCACAATTTCCCTTTCCAATTTCAAAATGACATTAACATTTTTATAGTTCCACATATCCATATCTCTTTCTACAATGTAATCTATAAACTTAGGAATTACAGCAAAATCAACGTTATGATGGACTAATATGGGAGTGGCTGTTATAACCAAAAGTTCATTATATGAAAAAACTTTCAATTCGGGCATCTCTTTTACTTGGTCGTTGCGTTCAGTTTACTTCGATTTACATTTATGCCAAGGATCGTAGAATCTAAGAGAACTGCTACATCCCGGGAATAGGTGCACAGATCCTAGTCTAGTGTTAGTTCTAGTTTTAGTTTATTAAAATTATACAACAACCTACCGCTACAGAATACTAAATACTGCTCCCGAAAGACTACATACTGCTGGCAAAAGACTTTTTAATTGTATAAAACTAGATACTATTAATAAAACATTTAGCAACGCTTGCAAAAAAATAAATAAAGTTGGCAAAAGATTAGGAACTACAGGCAGAAGACTAGATATTGCTGGCAGAAGACATTTTCAACGTAGAATACCAGAGACTTTCTAACAAAACACTTGACAATTCTTGCAAAACTCTAAAAAGTGCTGACAAATTACAAGATATTCATTCCAGAATTACGATAGCTATTAATTAAAGACTAGATACTGCTTGTAAAACTCCAAATACTGCTTGTAAAGCACTAAGCACTACCGACAAAAAATGCTGCTGGAACAAGAGATTTTCAATACAGAATACTTGTGATGACCGTTGTTCCTTTGGATTGGGGTGTCAGTCGATTTCTTATTTTGTCTATTCCTATGAAGTTCTATAGATGAAGTTTTATGTGATCTATTAATGCTTTAATTGTATTATATGCCGAATTTATTCTTAATTTTGCACTAGCACTAAGTCTAGTTTTTAAAACGTATCGAATAAGTTGAGTTTTACCCAATTCATCAAACATACAATCATATAATTCGATTGCGTCAATTAATTGTGTCGTTGTGGATTCTGTATCGTTCATCGCTGGTAATAATGATGCCGCCGTTTTTAAGTCAAATCTTTCACCCTTATTTACTAATTTATCTAATAATTCTTCTGCACTATCTAATCTAATTAACTCTATAGCTTCTCTTCTAATCTTCGCGTTCGAGGTAATAACGTAAATGCAGTAAAAGATGCCAAAAATCACGAAAGCCACTCAAAAAGGATGTTTATGAGGTTATCGAAAGGTAAAAAATGATTAGATAAATAGTTCCGAAATAAAAACAGCGGTATGAGTAAGATAAGTCATTTTATACAAAATGTTTGTAAAAGTCATAACATTCTTTTTATTTTTCTCCTTTGCCACTGCTTCGTCTTACGGCCGAGGAGGTAATAAATGCTTATTTTTTTATAATAATTTAAATTTATTTCAAAGTAAATGGATGTAAAAATGGCAAAATTTTAGGTCCATGGCCAGATGATAGTAATTGTCAAGATCAAGAAGATTACCACTATTTAGACCCGAGAGATCCGTGTTCGTGTTGGTGTTTAAACGAAAAAGTTTTTTGTCCGCAATGTTATGATGCTACGACTAACGGTGTGTATCTAAACTTTATTAATCATCGATACTAAATGTATTATTTAACTTATTTTAGATGTTATTACCGATTATCCAGAATCTACACCCAGATATAACAAAGAATAACATCACCCAAGATGCGTATCAAGAATTGCGAAACTTTTAATCAATTATAAGTAAAATGTACTTTATATCTTTAATAAGATTTCAATAAATTATTTACTTTTTGAATCAGTTGCATTGTTTGTTAATATATACATCAGATAAAAAGAACAGATGCTATCAACAAAACAATACGCACTTAAAATTTCACGATGATCTCCATCTAAAAAAATCTTATTATATTGATGAATATGAACGAAGAAACAATTTGAAAAAAGATGTTTCTTAATAAAATCGTAATTGTTTTTGTATTTGTTTCGTTGGTTAACACTCAAAGAGGTAAGCGTTTTTAATTTTGAATACAATAATTAAATTAATACATTTTTAACTTTGATCTTATACTTAGATGGCAATCGATGTGAAGGCCAAGAAGATTATTACACTTTAGATGAATCAGATTCTTGTTCTTGTTGGTGTTTAAATCAAGAAGTTGTGTGCAATGACTGTGTAACGGATACAGAATCACCAGAAACAACCACCTATTCTATTGGAGGTAAAAATAATCTAATTACATTATCTACATAAGATAATTATATTCCTTTGTAGGGATTTGTGATGAAAATAAAATTTATGCTATCGATCGTTATGATCCGTGTACTTGCTGGTGTGGAGATGAGGGTCTTATTTGTCCTGTGTGTACTACATTAGTTCCAGATACTGATGAATTTACACAAAGTATTAATTAATTTTATTACTTAGTTTGATAGGATTTCAACTTATTTTCACTTTGAAATATCTTTTTTGATCGTACAGCTTTGAAAAACTTTTAATCAAAAATGCCTTTTGTTACAATACAAAAACACATTTTCATTTATTCTCAGCTCAACACATATAAATGTTTAAATAGAATAAGAAATTGGCCTTTTTTAATTATACAGTGAATGGAGGTAATATCGAAGAGATTACAATACAGCAACATATGCCATTATTTTTTATTATAAAAAAATGTCGATTACATACAAGTAATAGCTTCGAAAGATTTAAAATGTATGATAATGAAGCTTTCCTGGAAACTAAATTATAATCCGTATCATCTGCTTCTTTATTAATCGACTATAAATGGTTGGCTCAAACAATTAAGATTTATTATTTATTTTACTAGGCAACACGAAGTATTTGTAGCCGAAGATATAGAGTTGTATCGACAAAATGCTTGTAGTCATTACAGCACTATAGAAACTGGGTTAGAGAAAAGCACACATTAAGATATTAAAAATTCATGAAGAAATCGACATACTTGTAGCATTTCTCAGCATTTTTCGAAGCCATAAAAATCGAATTTTTACGTCAACGATTTATTAACGGGTTTTGAGGATTTAAAAATAAATCATTATAGATTTAAAAAGCAAACATTCTGATGGCCCACTACAAATTAAACATTGAGTTTGGATTAAGTTAAGATATTTAAATTAGAAAGGAAAATGCACTACTTCTTTGTTGAGGAATTAATCAAGTCAATGAATGTTAATTAATTCGACTTTCACAATCTAGGAAAATAGACATTGTTGCCTAAGAATCGTGTTATAGATGCTAATTCTTTATAGATAACAAAGAATTTTTTTCGACATTGTTTAATGACTTAATCTATAAATTTAAGAGTTTGTTTAAAATGTTTTATCACCTAAATGAAAAGAGATTTTTAAGGTTGGAATAGAGTTGCAAGAGCAAGAATTCACTGAAAAAAAAAGTGCTGAAATAAAATGCATTTTAAAGCAAATGTAATGAAAATTAAATATACACATCAATGACATCTTCTCATTCAAGCATAAAGTTTGAATTGCTCTAACTCAACATAATACATGCTCCGCGAATAAAACGAATATAATATATTACGCGAATAATATTAGCATAAAAAATAGTTCACAATCATTTTTCTATGACTCTGTTCCTGGATAAATGACTTCTCTTGAGAAGATTTATTTTCTTTAGAACTTTTTATGTGTTCTTGATCGACAAAATCTCCCCCTTGAGTAAAATCTTTTAAGTTAAAACGGCTGTCGAGTTATTATGACCTATTTTATAAACCATCCAATAAAATCCAATTCATATAGTATATCAAATGAAGAGTTAAGTTGAAATTTTGTTAAACTGTGCCATAATTATTATTATTTAATAATACATAATTTAATATTTAATTAAAGGTAACGAATGTGTTGGTCAAGAAGATCATAAAATTAACCCAGATGATAAATGTTCGTGTTGGTGCCTTGGTGAAAATTTAGTATGTCCGGAATGTAACATGAATTAAACATTTTATTTTATAATTTCTTTGTATATCATTAAATAAAACACAAAGCTTACAGTTCTAATTAATTAATAAAATAAAAAAAAGGTTATTAAAGAATTTACATTAAAATAAGTTATATTTATTAGGTGTTATAAAATATGTTTATTGAATATGATATTAATTTATAAAGCAATTAGTAGTTTAGATTAATTGTTTTACACAGCAACTGGACAATATGTTATTATTAATATGTAATAATTAATAATATATATTGTATAATTATAATTGATGAAGCCCCAAATTATCCTCTGTCATAATATGAAAATAATGGATTTTCCAGCTTTTGTGGGAATCCCACGTTGTTTTAATGTATTGTTAATATATTTGTAGATAATGGGTTTTTATAGCACCATGGAAAATAATCTCTTAATGCTGATAGATAAAAATAAACAATTAGTAAAAAAAATTAAATAGGATGTAATATTGTCTCTAAAAACATTTCGCTCAACGGGGTCTTGCTTATAATTGAATTGTTACTATTGAAGTCAGTAAGCTATATGCATTTATGTATCAATACAGCATAAACCACCGAGATATTATATCTTAATTGGGCCGTCTTCTGTTGTATGATGATCTTTGATGAATCACCATGAACGATTTGAAGGTTATCTGAACATCAAGTACATATAATGTACATTGCCATAACCATGTCGATCAATGATTTTATACATAATTAGACTTTCAAGAGTACAATGTGTCTGAAAGTCAGCTTTAAAAAAACAGGCTGAAATTGATTAATGCAAGAGAAGAATTAATAGCTACAACAAGAGCTTCCAACTATAGCTTTTTAAAAAAGCTTCTAAAAGACAAAACGCCAGTGATGATTAATATATTTATCATAGTGAAGTTCATGAATGATCTTGGCATACACTCTATAAAATCAAATTAACTCAAGAACTGAAGCTCGTTGAAGCTCTGTTGAAAATTGCAGAAAATCCTGAATTTCATTGAAAAGTCATCTTCAGCGTTGAAGCAAATTTTGGTGTCAAACGATAATGAATTCGTGTACAATATAATCTGATAGTTAAATGTAATTGTAGGGCTAAAGTGAAACAACTGTGTGCTAAAGTATATAAATTTTGTGATATGAGGTCTGTATTTGCCCTTCGGTCTTTATAACAACTAGTATAAGGCCAAATTACAAAACTCCGCGGAAAATTATTGGAAAAAGTATTAGAAATAAAGCTATATCATTTCTGTTATCAATACTAGCTGATAGTTAATATAGATTCCTCAATGGAAATATACCCGCAATGGGCATATAACCATAAACTTTTACTGGAAATGCATAACAGCTTAATATACTGGCAAGTGACGTCTAAAGTAAGCAACAATGCGTGCAAATTGATAACAGAATAAGTTACTTGTTACTTCAATGTTAAATGATGTTTTAACACTTAGTATCTTGCTTAGAAAACAGCTTACATGGCCAGTTCAGCAAGGATAAACGTTTCTTTCATTTAGGGACTAATTAGATTGAACCCAAAGATAATAGTATTCGTAATCTAACACAAAAATTATTTTTAATAATTGTTATTCCCAATACACCAATTGATTGTGACACTGATAACAGTATTATTGAAATATAAGCCGTTTGAAAGCAAAAAACGTGGGGAGAATACAGTTTTTCAGCAAAAATATGCCAGTTAAACTTGCCATGACACACTACTGAAAAACACAAATCCTAGTATAACTCAATGCAGAATCTATTAACAAGATTTAGACATTGTGTACTATTTAAAAATAACTTGGCGCGTGCAGACTATCTGAAGGATGTACATTGAACAAAAGGGTAGTAAGGATCTTGATTGCAAAAGAATGAAACGTTTCATGTTATAAAACGATTATTTTTGGTTTTCTTGAATGAAATGGTTTCTGAAAATAAAAAGTTAATCAAAAACCGATCTTTACTATTTCCTTAATTTCATATGATTTGCCCCTATCAATCACAGAAAAATGACCATAACGCATAAAAATCTCCCATCAGCACTTTTGGCACTTTCAAATAACAATAATTCCTCCAATATCTTTTAAGAACACAACATTTAAGCACTTGGCAAAATTATGAATTTGTTGCCTCTGATATAGGGTTGTTCTGATTTTAATTGTTTTCATTACTATGTCTTTTCTCTAAAGATTTCAATCACATTACCATATTCTAGACTTCTGTTTCATCTCTTCATCTACAATTAGTACTTTTTTGGTTTCTGCCAAAACTATCTTTTAGTATTTTTACACTTACTACCTTCTACTCCAGTTGCTGCTCTGTTTACTTTACTTACTGCACTCTATACCGAGAATTTCATATAACTAATTAGCTAAAATTAGTTGTTTTAATTGTGCAAAATTTTTGCTTTAAGTCATATTGGAAGATTAAAGAAATTACCCCTCTAAACTGGTGATCTCCAAGTAATACTCAAGTATCGTAAGTGTGATTCAATATTGCTTAAGTAAAGGAGATTAATCGTCTTTTTAGAAATATTTGTTATTATTCTAAAACTTAATTCTTAATTCTTCATCTTATCTTTAAACTTCATAGCGCTATCTAAGTACTTTAGAGTTTTATATCCTTACGAAAATCAATATCGCTATAAAATTACTTTTATCATTTTGTAAAATCCTATTATTTACATCAAAGTAATATTTTAGAGTCAACAACGTTTTACTAGGTTTATTTATCATCTCGTGGAGAGTTGAACCGGTAAATACCAGGGTTGTAAATTGTGGTGTGT